TGTGCTTTCAACAGCCCAGCATGGGCTCACGGCAGATGACCGTGGACTACCGAGAACTGAACAAGGTGGTGGCCCCCATCCATGTGGCTGTGCCCAACACTGCCACCATCTTAGATAACTTGGCCATGGTCCTAGGAGTGTACCATGCTGTACTGGACTTAGCGAATGCTATTTCAGTATACCTCTGGCCACTGAGTCACAAGACCAATTTGCCTTCACGTGGGAGGGGCAACGATGGACCTTTCAAGTGCTTCCCCAAGGCTACCTACATATCCCCACTATATGTCATGGGATGGAAGCCCAAGACCTGTCCCTGTTCTCCCTCCCCACATCAGTAAAATGAGCCCATTACATTGATGATATAATGTTAACATGTGAAGACTTGTTTCTACTGCAGGACACCCTGCAGACTTTGCTGGAACATCGTGAGGGAGGAAATGGGCGGTGAACCGACAGAAAATTCGAGGCCCAGGCATCGCCATAAAGTCGTTTGGTTGGATGAGACGCACGTTGTCTCAGAAGCTGTGATCTATAAGGTGCAATCCTATCCAACTCCTAAGAATGTGAAAGAGGTGCAAGCCTTTGTAAGGATTTTGGGGTTTTGGAGGACTTTTACTCCCTATCTGACACAGTGCCTCCATCCCTTTTACCACCTGCTAAAGAAAGGATGGGTGGGAATGAGGATCAGAGCAGCAAGCTGCCTCTGAGAAGGTAAAAAGGCTAGTAAAGCAGATTAAAGCTCTGGGCATCTCTGAAGCAGGGCTACCATTTGAGTTAGATGAGTCTGTGACCCCGGAAGGTAAGGGTGGGCACTGTGGCTGAGACAACGAGAGAGTACCCCTAGGATTTTGGTCCCAGCTCTGTAAAGGGGCAGGAACCCAACAGACCCCCACAGAGTAATAGCTTCTAGCAGTGTACACAGTGCTCCTCCAGGTAGAGCCTCTCAGGAAGGAACTGCATATTATGGTAAGAAATTCCCTTCCTATCAAGATTGGTTTGATAATATGTTCCATTGACCCACCTCTGCCATGGCTCAAACCACCGCACTGACTAAGTGGTATGCCTATGTGCAGCAGAGGAGCATCCTGTCTGCCACCCCACTGTCTCTAGAGATGCAGGCACTACTAGGCCCTGTAGAGTATGTAGATCCTCCAGGTACCCCCACCCTTACTCCTGCGGCAGCCCCTGCAGCCTGTAGAGAGAGAGTGGCGGGAATTCCCACTGATGCCTGGTATACAGATGGATCTAGTCGGGACAACCTGTTCACATGGACTGCAGTTGCTATTCAGCCCACCACTGACACCAGCTGCATGGAGACAGGAGTGAACTGCAGCAGCCAGTGGGCTGAATTCACAGCGGTTTGGCTAGTGATCACTCATGAGCCCTGGTCGTTAACACTTTGCACTGATAGTCCACTAAAAAGATTTTAACCCTATGACTTGGACAATGGGAAGCAGAGGGGTGGGTGATCATGAATAAGCCCTTGTGGGGTCAGGATATGTGGAAAGACATTTGGATCCACTTGCAAGAGCCTGAGGCAGTCTTCACCGTCTTCCATGTTTCAGCTCACAAGGCGCTGACACCCCTGGCAATCAGGAACCTGATGCCCTAGCCTGGGTATGAGGTCTAGCAACTGACCCTTCAGTAGACACAGCAGATTAGGTGCATAGGAAGAACAACCACTGTAGCGCCAGGTGGCATGCTGTACTGCCAAGGATGCTGGCTTCACCTTGAGATACAGTGACTTGGTTAATGCAGTGACAGCATGTTCTAAACAATGCCCAAGGCATACCAAAGGAGTCTGGGGCCATCTAACAGAGTTTTTAATGGGTAAGAAATTGGCAAATTGATTATACTAGCCGCCTCCCTATGAGAGGAGTGATGGTTCTAAATGTGCCTTGGTTTGTGTGGACATTGAATCTGGCCTAACCCAAGCTTTCTCCTGTTACTGCACAAACCAGGCTGCTAGCATCAGAGGATTAGAGAAGCTGAGTACCATGTACCAACACCCTCGTCAAATAGACAGTGATGGGGGTCACATTTTAGAGGTCATGATATCCAAGACTGGGTAAAAGAACATGACCATTTCCCCCTATAACCCGCAGGCAGCAGGGTTGGTAAAAAGGAAGAATGGAATATTCAAGCAGCAGATTAAATTATCAACAGGTAAGACCACCTTGGCTGGGTGGACTAACGTACTACCCCAGGCTTTAATACATTTGAATGACCAACCAGTAGGTGCTGTTGTCCCATATGCCAGACTGGGGACCCCTACCAAGACACCCAATATCATAATGGTATGGAAGTCACAGGAAACAGCCTTTGCCCCGACTCTCATTGTGAATCAACATGCTATGCTGCTGAGACTACCAAGCCCCATCAGACCTGGGACAGGTGGTATCTACTGGAACTGGCAATGGGATGTCCCACCGAAATGGGTGAGTTACTTCACACCCCTGGGAAAGGGGAACTACTCAGTCTCCAGTGGGATTCCGTTGTCCTGCTACAAGACAGATCTATTGAAACACACTATACCTGGAATGGAACACGCACCATTGAAAGAGGGGAGAAGATGAGGGAGTCTTGGTCTGGCATATCCCACCCCAGTCCATCTCCTCATGCCTAACAGTGTTGCCCCCCGGCCAATGTGTGGTATGCACAACCAGGTCAAGTTCCTAAAGTTGCCAACCTCCCTCTCCTCAAGGCCAGACGGGCATGTTGTTTCCCACCAGTATGATCATCTGGCTGCCATCTTTGCTCCCTCTACTGGCCTGGAGGACATCATAGCACACATAGAAGCCCTCACTAAGGGCCGGCCCCGTGGCTTAGCGGTTAAGTGCACGCGCTCTGATGCTGGCGGCCTGGGTTCGGATCCCAGGCGCACATGGACGCACCACTTCTCCAGCCATGCTGAGGCCAAGTCCCACATACAGCAACTAGAAGGGTGTGCAACTATGACGTACAACTATCTACTGGGGCTTTGGGGGGATAAATAAATAAATAAACTTTAAAAAAAAGAAGCCCTCACTAAATACACCCAGCAAGCCTTAAATGATAGCCAGCAAAGCCTGTCCTTACTGAACACTGACCTATCTCTAATGACAACGTTGTCCTCCAAAATAGGATGGCCTTGGACCTTACTACCGCCTCACGACGAAGCACCTATGCATTATCCAAACAGAGTGTTGTGTGCTCATAACTGATGAGTCTGCTGATGTATCAACTTTATTAAATCACATGACTACACAAGTGAACGCCCTGAGTGATCCGACTCCCAGCCTAGGGAACTTAATAAAGTGGTTCAGATCATGGAGCTCTTGGTAGAAAAAATTACTTATTTTGAGAATCGTTGTCTTAATCCATGTTTTCTCTTGCATGTGCCTATACTGTTGCTGTGGTATCTGCCTCCAATGCAGCCAGAGAGCCGCCAAACAAACCGCCTCCATGCTAGTGAACCCCTCGCTGATGTTCAGGGTACACTGTGGAAGAGGGGGACATAGAGACTGTAAGAGCCGGTCATGAGGGGTGGAATGTTAAGAGGTCATCAAGAGGACTTGACTGCCAGTTGACCCATGAGCTGGACCCAGGCTCCTCACCCCTCTCCTGCCCTTGGAATGTACATTCTGCCCACCATTCCCACACTAGGAGCTGTTTCAAGGACACAGCCTTGAGAGACTAAGGTGTTATTGAGACCACGTGGACTGATACATGACTGAACCCAGTTAAGACCTCTATATAAACTTTCAAGATTCTGGCAGGTGGGTGTGGAGATCTACTTGTCCTGCGGCCGCCCAAGACAAACCTCAAATGTGAATTCCTTTTCTTAAAACCGGCCACCTACCCGTCTGGAGTGGCCTGCCTCTTTCTTTGGTCTCTCCTTGCCCTCCATGTACAGGACCCAGTTTCAGATTTCACCCGGGGACTCTGGAGGTTGGGACCCAACACCTACTGTATTTGTTCTTTATTGCTTGGTATCCCAACAGCACTGCTGCTATTTGACATTTGCTCTCTAGGCAACCCACTTCCTCCCCCTTGTCTACCGGTTCTAGAAATTGTCCTAACTTCCTACAAGCTCAGCAATGCATCAAAAAGCATGTTTTACCTAGTACCTAGGATCTAGCTGTTTTGCAGTAAGAGGACGACCCAGATTTAACTAGTCTGCCATATATTCTGAAATATTTTAAAAATTCTCAACTGTTTCTCAAAATTCACAAATTATACAAAGTGTATCAGATTAACCTCTTTGGTTTATTCTGTCATAATTCTGTCTTTTCCTTACTCCTCCCCATAGCTATTGTACTCTGTATTCTATATGTGGGCCTCCTCTCCTCAGCCAATTCCAATATCCTCAGGAGAGCATTTACAATATAATCTTATTTAGTAAATGCTACTCACTGCAAAGCTAAAAGGGGAGAATAGAAATAAGTCTGTATTTGATAATTTTCTGAAAGAAATCTAGCTAAGATATACAATCAGGCTGCTTGGCAAGAGTAGGTAAGGTAGAAAACCACAAATCGGGCCAGCCCCGTGGCGTAGCGGTTAAGTGCACGCGCTCCGCTGCTGGTGGCCCGGGTTCGGATCCCGGGCGCGCACTGACGTACCGCTTGTCAGGTCATGCTGAGGCTGCGTCCCACATACAGCAATTAGAAGGATGTGAAACTATGATGTACAACTATCTACTGGCGCTTTGGGGGGAAAAATAAATAAATAAAATTATTAAAAAAAAAAAAAAAAGAAAAAGAAAACCACAAATCTTTGTAATTTCTAACTGTGCAGGATAGGGACTAAGAAATTATTTGTCTGATCAATTTAGAATTCACAGGATGACCTAAGTCTTCAACATAAAAAGTCATTTATTCAGGAGATTCAAATAAAATCTTCTACTCTATTATGTTCTGATCTTGAGATCAGAATTACAGTGGCAGAGAAAGTGAGGAGAGGGAAATAATATGGTGCACTACACTGAAAAAATTCTGCAAAATGATTACAAACATACTTACCAGAATTCTCATCCCCTTGGCACACACTGTCCAGAACCTCTTGATCACCTTCTGCAGCTATATATGCCCAAGTATCCGTTTCATCTCTTGTATTTCTCCTTTCTTTAAGTAACTGCTTGTTTTCCTTGGTTTTGTGATCTTCTGTGATTGTACAATCCAGTGGTATTTCTTCTCTTTTCCGATTATTTTCAGGGAAATCAGTTTTTTCTTCTGGAGTTAATTTAAATAAATCAAATGCATTTCTGATTTCTTTAAATGCTAGTGAAAAACATGAAATTGATAATAAATGAGTCACAGATTTTTGTTGTAATCAAAACAAAATCTGGGTTACGGCCAGCCCCAGTGTCCTAGTGGTTAAAGTTTGGTGTGCTCCACTTCGGTGGCCCAGGTTCGGTTCCCAGGCGTGGAACCACACCACTTGTCTGTCAGTGGCCATGCTGTGGCTGGGGCTCACATCAAAAGAAAAAAAAAAAAAGAGGAAGATTGGCAACAGATGTTAGCTCAGGGTGAATCTTCCTCAGTAAAAAAAAAAAAAAAAATCTGGGTTACTGTTAAAGAAATAGATATTCTCTTACTTTTTACTAATATCTGCCTTGATTATAAAGCATGATCAGATTTACTATAAAATCCATGAAGTTATCCATGACTTCAAATATACCACAAAGCTATACAGTAAACCAAAACAGCATGGTACTGGCACAAAAACAGACACACAGATCAATGGAACAGAATCGAGAACCCAGAAATAAATCCGCACATCTTTGGACAGCTAATCTTTGACAAAGGAGCCAAGAACATACAATGGAGAAAGGAAAGTCTCTTCAATAAATGATGCTGGGAAAACTGGACAGCCACAGGCAAAAGAATGAAAGTAGACCTACACTCACTACACAAAAATTAACTCAAAATGGATTAAAGTCTTGAATGTGAGACATAAAACCATAAAACTCATAGAAGTAAATATAGGCAGTACACTCTTTGACATCGGTCTTAGCAGCATCTTTTCAAATACCATGGCTACTCAGGCAAGGGAAATAAAAGAAAAATAAGCAAATGGGACTACATCAGACTAAAAAGCTTCTGCAAGGCAAAGGAAATCAGAAAAAAAGTGAAAAAACCCACCAACTGGGAGAAAATATCTGCAAATCATTTATCCAACAAGGGGTTAATTTCCGAACTATATAAAGAACTCATACATCTCAACAAAAAGACAAACAACCCAATCAAAAAAATGGGCAGCGGATATGAACAGACATTTTTCAAAGGAGATATGCAGATGGCCAAGAGGCACATGAAAAGATGTTCAACATCACTAATTATTAGGGAAATGCAAATGAAAACTACAATGAAATATCACCCCATACCCATCAGAATGGCTATAATTAACAAGACAAGAAAATAATAAGTGTTGGAGAGGATGTGGAGAAAAGGGAACCCTCATACACGGCTGGTGGGAGTGCAACCTGGTGCAGCCACTATGGAAAACAGTACAGGGATTTCTCAAAAAATTAAAAATAAGAATATCATACAATCCAGCTATCCCACTACTGGGTATTTATCCAAAGAACATGAAATCAACAATACAAAGAGATCTATGCACCCCTATGTTCATTGCAGCATTATTCACTACAGCCAAGACATGGAAGCAACCCAAGTGCCTATTAGTGAATGGGTAAAGAACATGTACTCTATATATACAATAGACTACTCAGCCATAAAGACAAAATTGTCCCATTTACAACAACATGGATGGACCTTGAGGGTATTATGTTAAGCATAATAAGCCAGACGAGAAAGACGAACACCCTATGATTTCACTCATATATGGAAGATAAACATACACATGGATAAAGAGAACAGTTTAGCGGTTACCAGGGGAAGAGGGTGGGGGGTGTGGGCAAAAGGGCACATATGTATGGTGACAGACTGAAAACCAGACTATTGGTGGTATGATGCAGTCTATGCAGAAACTGATCTATAATAATGTACAGCTGAAATTACACAATGTTACAAACCAATATGACTTCAATAAAATAAAAAAATAAATTAGGAAAAAAAGAAAAACCCATGAAGTTGTTTCAACTGGTCTTTCTACTGGCTGTTCAGTAGTCAGAAGGGCGTCCAAAGTGAATGGCAGTAAATCTGGTGTTCTGAATACTCTCAGTTTTGACGAAGGCCTACTGAAGACAGTGAGCCTCAGAATAAGCCAAGTCATGCCACCAACTATTCTTCTGCTAAGACAACTGCCTACAACTCTATCCTAAAGCTAACCTTGTACAAAAATCACTTCTGGTGGTGAGTGGGGGAAATGAACGGTGCCAGCACACTGATCGCACACTCCTACAACCAGACCTAATGCCTGTGAAAACCCACTCAATTTTTAACTCAAGATAAAAGTGGAAATGAGACTGGCAAAGCACTAGATCTGACATAATAACCCAATAAAAGGGTAGAACAGAACAAAATTAGGAATAACTCTATTATAAACTCTGGGTACGTAGCAGATAGGTTTTACTAGCAGGGATACTGAAAATCGGACTTCCAGTTAGTAACATTATAAAGGAATGAATAGTAGTTTAAGACTACACAGTCACAGTAAAAATCTACCTGAAATTGACATATAAGATGCTAGAAGGAAGAAAAAGTTAATTAACCAGCCCCAGTTTTATATTTTGAATCTTCAATCACTCTTTGAAGAGTAATAGATGCTTAAAACTGTTGTATTCCTTTGAACAGTCTAAATCACAGAAACTTTATGCACAATCCATTGAAACAACAGTTGCTCCTTCCTACCTTCCATTACCCTGCTACTTACTGCTAAGTCCCAGAATAGGCTTAGAACCAAAATCTGCTTTTGTGTGTGTGTGTGTGTGTGTGTGTGTGTGTGTGTGTGTGTGTGTGTGTGTGTGTGTGTGTGTGTGTCTGAGAGAGGAAGATAAGCCCTGAGCTAACATCCATGCCAATCCTCCTCTTTTTGCTGAGGAAGACTGGCCCTGAGCTAACATCTATTGCCAATCCTTTCCCCTTTTTCTCCCCAAAGCCCCAGTAGATAGTTGTACGTCATAGTTGCATATCCTTCTAGTTGCTGTATGTGGGACGCCGCCACAGCATGGCCAGACAAGTGGTGTGTTGGTGCGCACCCGGGGTCCAAACCCAGGCCGCCAGTAGCAGAGTGCGCACACTTAACCGCTAAGCCATGGGGCCGGCCCCAACCAAAATTTGCTTTTAATATTACCCCAGTTACATAACACCTTTTGGGAGAAAACCCAGGGGAAATTATCCATCTCTTAGAATCACTGCTTCCATGAGAATGTGTTCCAAGTACTTTTGGTGCATGAACTAAAACACCCCTAGGGCTTATTCAAACACTGTAACGGTGAATGTTTTATAAAGTGCTTCTTCCAGTATTGACGTGTGGAATGAATTCTCAATTATGATATATCTTGACGTAATTCAAAACATACAGTCAATATTATATTTATACAAATGACAAAGAGCTAAATACGGTATCAAACAATAGTTTGTTCCATTTAGCATTTAAAAGAGACCTTTTTTTCTGCCATAATTAATTTCCTGTTCTCTGTAATTCTAATGTACTCCATCATCATACACAAAAAGAGAAAGAACAAGGTGAACAGAAGGGAAAAAATTAATTATAGAAACAACATAAATTGTTATACAATAAAGTAACTAGTTAAAAAAAAGTAGCATAAGGTTCTAAATTCCACAGTCAATGAAATTTCCAGTTCTATGACATTGCAGGTTAGAAAAGAGACATTGTCTTCAAAGTAAATTAAATTCTTTGTATCAAAGACGGCAATGTTAAATGGTAAAATGTTAGCATTCACTCACTCTTTAATCCCTTTGGCTCTTTTCGGCTTTTTTCTTCCTTGTCCAAATCAGGCCTTTTCTGGTATTTTTCTTTGGGTTCATTTTTTTTGGTCTCTTTCTCCTGGAAAGAGACATATGTTAAGACCCACAACAAGAACAGATAAACAGCTGATACCCTCTATCTGAAAACTGGGAAACGCGGGTTCTTGATATCCGGGATGCCTTTCGTGTACTGTGGCACATGACCACTGATTATTACACCTTTTCTCACATCAACTGCCTCCTCAATCAAGATTACCCCCCAACCATGATAACCTACAAAATATCAAATTCAAAACCCAACACCAGTTTCCTCACTCTAAGAATTTATTAAAAATAAAGAAAATTTCAAAAAAAATTCACCTACAGCCCTACTAACAAAACATGACTATTTTTATTCCTCCATTCTCCCTTCTGATCTTTGTAATTTTGCATAGATAATTTTACAGTTTAAAATTCACTTTTCTCTATTAACATTGCATACATATTTTTACAAGACTGTGTTCATATGTATGTATGGTTTTCTTCACCATTAACATTTTGTAAACTTCTCTATTTTTGCTACATTGACCTCATAATTAATACTTCAATGGATTAATTCAACTGTCCCCAAGTGGATACAATATTTTCTTAACCACTTCCCTCATGGCTAGTTAGACTGGTATTAGTTTTAGTGAAGATAACACAGCCATAAGTATCTTTGTATACATAGTTTTTTCCCCTTTAAAATGATTTCCTTAAGATAAATCCACAAACTAGGAATAACGGATGGAAGAAAACGATCTTTTTCATAGCCCGTGATAAATACTGCATATATGAATACTTTCATAATGTGGAAAATATTTCCATTTTGAAAAACCATATAAAAATAATTTTTATAATAATGGGATAAACTCTTTATTAAATCTATTTTTGTAAGAATTAGAAGACTTTTAATGTTAATGCATTCTATGTACTTTTAAGTAAAAAGTGGTATATTCTTAAGACAACAGGGTAAAAACATCAAGTAAGATGTGAGAAGCTAATAAAATCAACTGAGGAAGTTACAAGCTTTACTACAATGCTACATACCACATATCTCTTAAAAAAAGACCCTGGCTTTTGTCCACAAATTAGCCCTCAATTTTCTAGTTGTACTTAGTCTAAAAGAAAGCAAGTCTGAAGACTAAGAGATCAGCTGGGGAGGTCCAAAAGCCGGCTGATCTTCAGCATGTGTATGAGTCACACTATTAACTCCCTAACGATAGAAAGGCTTTTCATATAGCTTGTTTCACTACTTGTCATTATTTGTGAAACTTGTTGACTGCTCAGAAGAGTGCTAGCTTGGTTTGAACATCTCTGTATTCTAAGATTTTACTGTTACCCTTCAATCAAATCATCCCCCGCCCCGTACTCACTTCCCCAGCTGAGTCACTGGACCTGAGGTTCCTCTCTTCCCCACCCAATCGTGAACTCTTCTGTGTTTGGCCAGAAGCAGCGGTCAGCTTATCTAACTCTGTAGTACTTTTGCCTTTGTCTTGATTCCTTTGTTTTTTATGTATATTTTTCTTCTCTAAGAAAAGGTTCTTGTTTTCTAGCTTTCTGCTCTCTTTAAGTTCCTCAGTCTTTCTCAGTTTCTTTTTTTTCCTCTTTGCTTTGCCATCAGCATCCTCATCAGCACTTACAGTGCCATCCAGCTGTTTATCAAAAATAGTATCTTGAATTGCATCTTGCTCTGCTTTCTCTTTTGCACTTTTAATCTTTTGTTTCTCTTCTCTGCTGCCAGAATACAACTCTTCACTGTCATCTTCTTGAAAAGGGGATTCATTAAGTACATGTGATTCAGATTCCAAATGAGAGTCAACATATTTCTCTTTTTTTGTTTTTCTATTTTCTTTGGGATCTTCTCTTATTTTAGTCTTTAAATCTCTTACGTCACCCTTTTTAACCTTCTTTAATTCCTTAGTTTCTTTTACATCATCTTTCTTGGGCTTTTTGGATTCCTTTAATTCTTCTTTGGCTTCCAAAATTCTTTTCTTTGTCCTTAAATCAAAAACTAAACTTTCAGAGGAGCTCTCCAGGTTTGGTTTGGGTTTATCTTTTAGTTTCCCAGTCTTTGCTTTTTTCTTTTTCAGATCATCTGGGCTTTTCTCTTCTCTATGCCTTAGTTTTTTCTTTTTCTTCTTTGGAGAAGTATCTTCTTTTGTCTCACTTTGCTGATCGCTATCAGAGTTTGCCTCAAATATGTCATTATTTAAGGATAGTCTCTATAAAATATAAAAAAGATTTAAATACTCATTAACATAGTAATTTAAAAGGTTTTGAAAAGTAGTACTAATGATATCTGGTAGAAATGTGTTTTTTCCCAAGCAGTTTCTCAACTCCTTATAAAATTACTTACCTACATTGACGTTGTATAACATTACTTATATCTCTGATTTAGCAAATAGCTGTTTGGTAGTGATGACTATCAATTTAAGAAAGTAGATAAATACAGACAGAGACAGGAAATGTTAGCGCTGCTAAAGGTCTCAAACTCAAGCAGAAGTGAACAATAACAGTCTTACGTATGGCAGGTTGTACATGATTTGAACTTCAAAACTTCCAAAAACACCAAGGAAGTAATTTGTACAGACTTTCTTGGTTGCCAAAAAAGTCATTACCAATCCAAACCCACAGGTATTTAAGACTCTGGATCCCAGAACTTGTCGTTACATTCCATTATATGTAACAAGTTATATATGGAACAAGTAGGACTGAACACAAATCTTACTTCCCCGACTGATTTGATTTGTGTTATATAATCTGAAATAGCTCCTGTGGAAAAAATATTTTCCTATTCTAAAAAAAATCTTAAGAATAAAGTATTTGTATAGACACAAAAACACTATGAAAAGTATTTTCGGTTCCCATTTCCCCAAATTCTCTTCTCCTAAATGACTTGGGTGTGGAAAGAAGGGAAGGAAAAGACAAGTGTACTTTAAAAGTTTTCCCTACAGTACCTAAGAAATGAATCCCACCAAAGTTACTAAGATAGAGAGAACCTGGTGGCATTGGCATAACTTTTTCAATCTCCCTGAATCACTTCATAAAAAGACAAACCAACTAGGATAGCAAAACAAAACCCCACGGACAACATTAAACAAAATTAACATCTACTTAATTAAGTGGCAAAGTATCCCAATGAACCCTGAAATATAAGCAGGTAGGGACAAACTACTAACAGCTGTAACACCTGTGTGGTATGACTATCACAGGAGGAAGCAAAAGTAGCAACGAAAATGGGAGAAATCACTAAAAAGTCTGCAGGTCAATCTGAGAAGAGCAGCTGAAGGGAGAGAGGCACCTGCGCGTGGTGACTGCCGGTACTGGGGCGGGTG